AAAAAAAAAAAAAGTTATGATGACCGAGCTTTGCGACAATCAAGCGCGCTATTGAGTTTCGTTTCATATAAACTTATGAATATTATTTTTAATACATTCATGTTACTATTGTTAAAGTAAAACTGTCAGAAAAAGCATTTCGATACAGATAAAAAAGCTGACACTGCCGTGAAAAATGGAGTAAACGTAAAGTTGAATAAACTTGTAATTATCGATAGCTAGTATGATGACATATAAGGCCTTCTTTAGAAAATATCGCGAGTACTTCCTATATTGTGTATCGTATTTATTTCTATTGCATTTGTAATTGACATCGAGCAGCTGAATAAAAACCCTACAGTGGAAATTGATGAAACTAAAATTTATATTATCGCGTGCGATATGTAAAAGTGCAAGTAAAGAGGAATTGTGTGTAAATAAAATACATAGTGAAATAATGAGAAAAATTATAACGCGTACGTAGGAAAAACTGTATTTTATTATACACGTAAGAGTAGATTAAAGTATATGCATACGAAAGGCAAAAGCCAATGAATATGTGATAGTCAACCAGAATAGAAAAAAATAATAAATATTCGAATGCACCTATACCCGACGATCCGACTATTATTGATAAATTTTTATCAAAATTATATACGTACTATATAATAACAATGAAATCCAATGTACTTTTATACTAGAAAATATAAAATATAAAAAAAAATAAAGCTTATCGTTGATTATTTGTGTTTTCCACGCAACATTTTATAGCTTACCTATAGAAAAAAAAATGCTATTTACTTTCATTCTGCTACGACACCATACAGTAATTGCTACTCTACATACTTACGTGAGCTAAACTTACGATTCTTAGAAATAACTTCGGCACGTAGAGATTACAATTTATGAGCGCTGCGATTCATTTTTGCCCAATAAAACCTCGAATCAATTAAATAAGATATCTCTTTTTAATATAAAAATTACAAGACGAAGTATGACATACATGAGTATCTGTATATTTCGTACGCGTTTAACAGTACATGCGTAACCATTCGAAGGAGAGAATGAAAAAAAAAAAAAAAAAAAAAAAAAAAAAAAAAAAAAAAAAAAAAAANTTTTTTTTTTTTTTCCTTTTTTTTCTTCCGAGTTTCGATTCAATGCTCAAAAACAAATGCTTCGTTTGTTAATTGTCGAGTACTTGCTCGCACATTAAGACAATGTTTTCCCATGTATGCATTGTTAGAGGTATACAATATACAAATATAATAAGAATAAACTGGATGATGGTGACGTGTGTGTATAATTTGAATTTTTAAAGGGAGCATCACGTACAGTTTCGTCACTGGCAACGGTGAGAAGCTCAAGTTCGAGATCAACAACCGGACCGGCTTGATCAAGACGACGCAGTTGCTCGACAGGGACGAGCCGATTCGCGAAAAGGAGGTTTACCTGACGGTACTCGCCACGGACAATGGCAGGCCCCAGCTGGACGACGTTTGCACGTTTAAAGTCGCCATCGAGGACATAAACGACAACATGCCGGTTTTCGACAAAACTGTAAGCTTACGACATATTGTATCATATAGCTCATAAGTATGTATAGGCTTACCAACGTTTAGATCATGCGTGTGTGTTTTATGTTCATTGTGTTCATTGAGGCCTTACGAGGACGTATATGACCGACCTACTATAAATTAACTGCCACCGACTGAATCATGTGCCCACTCGAGTCTTTTGCTTCGTTGATTTTTTCTTTTTTTTTTTCTTTCTCATCTTCGACAAGTTCTCTTTCCCCCCCACCCCATTCCTCTGATTATTTATTTATCACCCGAGCATGTATCGCCTGGTTCATCATATGGTTATATTATATACTACATTGTACGTTAATTTAATCGAACGAAATCGATTGGAGATTCGAAAAGAAAAAAAAAAAAAATTAAACAAATTACTGTAGATGTAGGCATTGATTGATTTTCTTTGCTATTTTGGCGTTTCTTAAACTTTGATCTCCAAAAGACAGGACGTCACTAACTGTTGTACACTTTTGCTTCGGCTTTTACGTCATCGGTAATAGGACTTCTGGGGACCCGGGCCAAAGGTTGGTTTCCCAATGATTCACTCTCTATGGTACACTTGATATGTTCACTCGCTCACTGTTTATTACTTACATCTGTGTGCATCCTCGTCGTTTCACTTTTAGTGTTGGCCCTTATATTTTATTTTCTTTCATCCGTATGCAATTTCACAATTTTTTTTTTATACTTACTTTCTCCCCGTATAGTGAGTAGCTCGCGTGACTTGTGATTTTTTTTTTTTTTTTTTTTTTTTGCCAATGATACCCTCTGTTATTATACATATGAATCATTTTTTAGCTACAATTTGTTCACCCATAAATACTACGTAGATCTAGAATGTACTACTACACTTTTTTATGCACTTGTAATTATGTGCTTTTACAATGCATTTGTGGCTGATCTCTACGCCTCTCCTGACCTAAAATAAGTGGAGAAAATCCAGCAACTGCCCCTATAGCAGTTCTCAGATTTTACGACCTTACCGATCAAGATAACCGGGGCACATTACAATAATACCCTTTGTGTAATTGATTTTCATACGATTTGGTAGCATTTCTTGTATCTTTTTTTTTTTTTATGACGCACACGTAGCATCGTTTCATCGACGCATGTATTTCAAACCTTGGCTTGATTACTTAATAAGTGTTTGATTGCGCTACCGCGTGCAAGAGTATTCGGCAGCACACTCATGTAATGGTATTACCAATGAAACATTGTCTTGGCAAGTAGACCCATGTGGCTTTAATGTGACGTTATCAATAAAAATTGTCAACAATCTTGAAATATTCTTTGTCAAAAACAATCTTTTTTTTACTACTTTTACATACATGTATAAAAAAAAAGGCAAAGATACAAAGCGGGACATTTGCACGCATTTAACGCAAGAAGTAAGAAAAGCAGCAAAGAAGGTAAACTAATCGGAGCGGTGATTTTCTGTCGACAGTATTACAAGGAGTCGGTGCCTCAGGACTTGTTGATCGGTCGCGAGGTCATGCGAGTTTCGGCCACGGACATCGACGACGGCAACAACTCGGTCGTTCGTTACAGCTTGTCGTCCAAGCGCCCCGAAGACGCGGCTTACTTTAGGATTGACCGGAACACCGGTGTCATCTACCTCAATCAAACCATCGACGTGAGTCCAGTTGTTGTCGACTTTAAGCGCATTTTTAGCAACTCAACTAATCGAGCCATTTTTTTTTTACCCCAGAGGAAGAATCCAGGCTTTGAATTTCACATGATGGCCATAGCAACCGACCAGGGTGCCGAGCCGCGCTCGAACGTGATTGACCTCGTCATAAGCGTCGTCGAGTCGCACAAAAAAGCCCCGACATTCGTCGTCTTCCCGACATCGCCGATTCAGCTCAAGGAGAACTTTAGCGATTACGAGGCGAGCATTGCCAGTCTCGAGGCCGCGTCCAACATCGACGAGAGTCCAGACTACTTTTTGTTCGAGCTCGTCACCGGAGGTACCCAACAGACCAACAAGGACAACACTTTCCGGTATGATCGATCGATGCACAACCTACCGCTTCCTCTCGTACCGTGTGCTTAGCTTTTACCTGTTGCAGATTGGAGTCTAACAAGAACAAAGCCAGCATCAAGTTAGGCCAGGCTCTCGATTACGAGAGCAACACCGATTACACGCTCATCGTGCGCGTCCAGAATAAGTACCAACTGGCTGCCGAGACGATGATTTACATCGAGGTGTTGGACGTCAACGACAACATTCCCGTATTTCGAGAAATAAAAAAGGGCAGCGTGTTGGAAAACGAAGAACCGGGCACTCCGGTCATGCAGGTGCGAGCCATCGACGCGGACGGTACATCGGCTCACAATCGGGTAAGCATGAAAGTTTTGTCCTTATTTGCTCCGTGATGGGGCTTTTTGATGGTTTTTTTAAATTTTTAACTCTGGTGTAGGTTACCTACGCACTCGGCAACTACGAAGAGTTTTTCATGATCGACAAGTACACGGGCAACATAACGACGCGCACGACGTTCGACCGTGAGCAAGAGTACTCGTACACCGTCAAAGTCATAGCGACGGACAACTCGCCGAGTTCGCTGTTCAAGACGGGCGAGCCCAACAAGGGCGAGCAGAACTTCCGGATCGAGATTGCCGATAAAAACGACAACCCGCCACGGTTTACCCAACGCGAGTACAAGGCCACGTCGATCGAGAACGAGAACGTCAATTCCCTCGTCACCGAGGTCAAAGCGGTCGATGCGGATACCGCGAGCCCCGTCACCTACAGCATCATCCAGGGTAACGTCGACGATAGCTTCAACATCGAGAACACCACCGGGAAGATTCGCGTCAACAACATTCTCGACTACGAAAAGATCACTCAGTATAATTTGACTGTCAGAGCTTACGACGGCATATACGAGGATACGGCCACCGTCAAGATTTACATACAAAATGTCAACGACAACTGGCCCGTTTTCGAACCTTTCAACAAGAACCCTGTCATCCAGGAGGAAAAATATTACAACGGTAGGTCGTTGTATTGATTGTATACATGTTAATCCATCCTGATACTGATTTTATTTTAAGTTCAACTTGATTGATTAAACAATTATTCTCATTATTATAGGCTGCATAACGACCGTCAGTGCTTACGATCCCGATATTAAAGACCGAAAAGCAGATCAGCACATAGTCTACTCTATTTTGAGGTCCGAGCACAAGCCTCTCATAGGTATCAACAAGGATGGCTGTATGGTGCTGAAGAAACCCTTGGACCGAGATGCTCCGAACGGTTATCCCGTGTGGACGGTAATGATTGTTATTTATTTTAGTTAACGGTATACCTATCGTACAAATGGAATGACGATTGTGAAAAAAACAAAAAAATCCAGATAACCGTGATCGCGCAAGACGAAGATGGTGGACCAAACTGTCTGAAAAATACAGAGTCGGTGAATATTACCTTGACCGACATAAACGACAACGCGCCCTTCCTCGACATGCCCCACCCGGTCATTTGGGACGAGAACCAGGAGCCCGGAAAAGTAACCGAGCTCAAGGCGCAGGACTACGACTCCGAGGAGAACGGAGCGCCCTTCACTTACGCAATCGACGTTTCGGCCGACACGACGATATTCACCAAATTCGAGATCCGAGGCAAGGATCTCTTCGCGAAGGTGCGCTTCGACCGCGAAGAGCAGAAGAGCTACAACATACCGGTATCCATTACGGACAACGGCTCGCCGCCTCAAACAGGTGTCTCAGTGTTGACGGTGATCATCGGCGACAAAAACGACAACGAGATGACGGATGGCTCGAGCTCCATCTTCGTATACAACTACAACGGTGAGTCACCCGACGTCGAAATTGGAAGCGTCTACGTCGAGGATGCCGACGATTGGGACCGAGGCGACAAGACTTTCTCCTGGTACCAGGATCAGCCGGAGTATGGCTTCAAGCTGGACGAGAACTCGGGCATGATAACGCTCCTCTCCGGCACGAAAAATGGCACCTTCGTGCTCAAGTTCACCGTTACCGAAGAAAGTGAGTATTGACGCTGCCGTTTGCTCGGACATAAGTTCATCGTGTAATTTCATCATTTCATTGTTCCGACAGGTATCAATACCCTGCGACACACCGCCCACGCTATAGTCAACGTGACGGTCAAAGAAATTCCGGAGGAGGCCGTGCAAAAGTCGGGCTCCATTCGCTTCTTCGGCATTAACGCTGAGGAGTTCGTGATAACGGAAAGCAAGGAATCCAGTAAAAAGGACATATTCCAAGAAAGAGTTGCCAAGATGTTCAATGTTTCCGTGGAGAACGTAGACGTGTTTACGGTCCTCCATTCGCCTTATCAAAACAAGTCGGTGCTGGATGTGCGCTTTTCGGCTCACGGTAGTCCTTACTACGCCTCGGAAAAACTCAACACTATCGTCGCCTCACACGTCACCGAGATAGAAAGCGAGATGGGCGCCAATGTACTCCTTGTCAATATCGACGAGTGTCTTGTAGAGAAGGTGCGATTAGTTTGTTAGCGGCGACGAATTTTAATCGATAAACAAATTCAATTCGAAACATTGTGTTCTTTTCACCATACAGGTACACTGCAACACCTCGTGCAGGAGCTTCCTCAACATCAGTTCAATGCCAGAAGTCGTCTATACGAACAAGACCTCGTTTGTTGGCGTCAGCGCTGTAGTGATGCCTCAGTGCACTTGTCACGTAGCCGAGCCGATCGCGTGTCTCAACGGAGGAGTAGTCGAAGACGCAGTGTGCAAGTGCCCGACGGGGTTAGAAGGCCCGCGCTGTGAACAACTGGCCATTGGCTTCTACGGCGACGGATATGCCATAATGCCATCGACAGGCCAGACATGTGACGAATCTTACTTGGGTACGATGGACCGCCAATTAAATTTCTTCTTTCACTCAATACAGTGTTTATTTTATGCAGTAATGACGCAAAAGGTACTCGATTATTAATTCAATTTACATGTTTGATTCCAGGTTTGGAAATAACTTCTCACGCCAAGGACGGGCTCATATTTTATCTTGGTCCAATGTATTATCCAAGTACCCCAGCCGTGCGATATCAAGATTTTATGTCGCTTGAACTACAAAACGGAAATCCTGTCTTGTACATGGATTATGGTCAAGGTACTGTTATGCTGGATAAGTCGGAATCAAGCAAAGACGGCGAAAACAAGGAAGAAAAGCTATCCCTGGCCGATGGAAAGCCTCACAGAATAGATATTTTCTGGTCAAAGACTGTAAGGCTATTTCTCACTGTAACATTTAAAAAACATGCAAACTCGCTTCTATCATGGATACTGTGATACTTTGTTTTTTTTTTACAGGCCATAGAAATGCAAGTTGACAATTGCAAATTATCAAGTTGCTTGAGATTAAAAGCGCCCATGGGTTCGAGTGAATTCCTTAATGTTAATGGCCAACTGCAAATAGGGGGTGCAGTCACCAATTTAATAAAATTAGGAGATAGTTTTAATTGGCAACACGTACCAACTGAAAAGCGATTCACGGGTTGCATTAGGAACCTTACAATCAATGGAAACGTGAGTACTTGTTACTTTTCACTAGCTCATTTCATACAGATCACGCCATAAAATTATCCAAGTTTTGATGAAAAAAAATTGATTTTTCAGACTTACGATTTCGCAATGCCGTCTTTATCGTTGAACGTGGATCAAGGTTGTAGCAATGGTATAGCTAAAGCTGTGACTTTTAGCATGGACACGAGCTTCCTGTTGGTCATTGCTTTGTGCATTGTCATTTTGTTGATTCTCTTGCTGGCCGTTGTAGTATACTCGCGTCAAACGGACGATCTTTACAAAGACATGGATGATATTAGAGAGAACATTATTAATTACGAGGATGAGGGTGGTGGCGAGGTCGATACTGGCTACGATCTCACTGTCCTACGAGGCATGTACGACCAGCCTAACGACATGAAAATCACCGCTGCCAGTCTTCAAGGCAAAGGTAGGTTTATGCATTCAAACGTGTCTCTAACAACTCTGATGACGTTTTGTTTAAAGTTGGTCATCGTAAAAAGTAGTTAGAGTGACTCGATGAGTATTCCAAGCCTGGTATTTTAAATGCAAATTTGTTTAACATTGACAGAGGCAGACGAGGTGCCCGATATTTGTGGATTCCTCGACGGCAAAAAGGAGAGTTGCGACAAGGATCCTGATACCAATCCCTTTGACGATGTGCGCCATTATGCTTACGAAGGCGAGGGAAACTCGGACGGCTCGCTTTCCTCTTTGGCATCTTGCACGGACGACGGTGATCTAAAATTCAACTATTTGTCAAACTTTGGGCCTCGCTTCCGCAAGCTCGCCGACATGTACGGAGAAGAGCCGAGCGAGGACGAGAGCGAAGGTGCCGGCGACCGCGAGAGCGAGAGCTGGTGTTGAGGTGAAAATGTGCGCGCGTATACGTTTTCCCGTGTTCACAAACAATACGATGATGAAAACGACTTATTTTCAATCATCGAAATGAAACAGTGAAAAGGACGCTAGCGCGAACATTACGACATTTACGTACTTAAGAGAAAGGATAAGGATCGCAAAAAGTATCAAAAGCAATGTTTATGCAGTGCGAGACGCATATTACTGGAGATGTAAACGCCAAAGAAATCATACTTGGGCGACTGTAGTAATTTCCAAAAATGCCTGCGACTATCGAGTATCCTCTTTCTTTCTCTAGACAACGCTTATTCCTCATTTCTTCCAAACACCCTGTCTGGTTTGACTACCAACTCGTGTACTTTCTGACGTAATATAGCATTAATTCAAGTTTTCCGGTTGTTTCTCGTTATTATTTCAAGTAGAAAATTTTCTTTGATGGCTTGATTGTATGGTGTAAACAAAGTTTTCACCAACAATGAATATTGTATTTGTCGCAGTACTTATCTGCCGAATTTTTTTTTCTTTATCAAGAAATTATATAGGAGAAAAATATGTAACTACATAATGCTGGTGAAATTAATATTTTTATAGTGATAACTATTTTTCGACTTGAGACCTTGTGCAACTTGTTGCCTTTGACTTTTTTTTTAACACATAAAATATATTTTAATGAATAATAAATGATTAAAACAGATGCCTACGTTACTCGAGTTTGAGCGAATAACTTTATAGGAATTAAGTAATTAAGTTAAGTAAAATTATTTTGTTAAAATGCAAAATTTTCGATCCAGCTGCCCGTGACATGGTATCTATTACAGGGTAAATGTGTAAAAATACAAGGTAAGCGTTATTCAATCGATGAATTGTGGTTGGCTTAAGTATGACCTATCTAAGTTTAGTAAATGTGCATTTAAGCGAGTTCGAGAGTACAGACATTTAATTTTTGTTTTTGTAAAAACGATAAAAGACGTGCTTTGGATCAGTGGTTTTTATTGGTGAATAGAAATCGGGCCTAAGAAATTAAAACCAAACCATGGTGCTGTTATCCAATGGTATCCTTAAATGGAAAGTATAGCTTTTTGTTCTATAAACCATTAAAAGTTAGATCACAAAAACTTTATTTGTTAGTTTTGATTATTTGAGTAAATTGATGCAATTTCAAGATTAAAAATCCATTGCCCTAGCGCGTCTTTATAGTTTTTCATTTAATTTGATGTATAAAATATAGATTATTAATAATAATATTTAGAAGCAGCCCCTCTGC